ATAGGTGCGCAGTTGGAAGTCTATTATATGCTCAAAACTGTACAAGGCCAGATATCAGTTTTGCAGTTGCAATATTGGGAAGATACTAAAGCAACCTAGGAATGGAACATTGGCAAGCTGCAAAGAAAGTAATGAGATATCTACAAGAGACGAAAGATTATATGCTCACATATAGGAGATCAGATCAACTTGAAGTGATAGGATATTCAGATGCTGATTTTACAAATTGCCTCGATAGTAGGAAGTCCACTTCAGGATTTGTATTTATGTTAGCTGGTGGGGCAATTTCTTGGAAAAGTACAAAGCAATCGCTTATTGCATCATCAACAATGGAAGCTAAATTTGTGACATGCTTTGAGGCCACAAATTAAGCTTTATGGCTGTAAAATTTCATCTCGGGACTTGGTATGATCGACTCAATTATCAGGCCGCTGAAGATATTTTGTGATAACATCTCAACAGTTTTCTTCTCTATGAATGGCAAGTACTCTAGTGGTTCCAAGCACATTGAGATAAAGTACTTGGTGGTTAGAGAAAGAGTCCAGAAATAACAAGTGTTAATTGAAAACTTGAGCACCACTATGATGATTGCTGATCCATTGACAAAAGCCTTATAGTGTAAAATATTCAAAGAACATGTTCTTCAAATGGGGCTTTTAAGCAAGTCATAAAGGATATGGTGATGCATGTTTATGTGGATGATATTATTGACATTCTTCTTGCTTAATTAAAGTTATCTGTTTTTGTTATATTGTTTACATTTATGTTTATGCATATTATGGTTGAATGTAATAATAGGATTGTCTTGACAAGACAAATTACAAGGGTCATTATGAACTATATTAGGAAAGACTAACAATGTTGTAGTACATAGAAGGGAGTATGTCATTGATGAAATATAACCGCTATAATCGGCATTGATGATTGGACTTAATATAATATTATTATGTTTATTGAACTTATTGGCTTATTTTAAAACATGACCATGTATAAAATACTTTTTAAAATCCTTTAGAATTCAATTAGGTAAAATTATTTTTTAAACAAATTTTGTTTTATTTATTTTGATTTTGAATATCTTTTTTATATCTTACCAATTAATGGATCAAGTGGGAGAATGTTAGATTTTGTGACCCTTTTATAATTAGATAAAATATATAACTAATTGGGTTCCATTGAAATATTTTAGCCAATAAAATAGAAGTCCACTTATGAAACGATTCCTCGTGAGATAACCTTGATGGGAGGAAATCTCCTGAGATCTTATCGTAGACCCTCTGCTCTCGCCTATAAAAGGACAGGACCTCTAGGGGTTGAGAGAATGTTGTCGTTAACACGTATACACGTACAAATCCATCAATCTTAGTGGGTCCTGTGAAAGGATAGGAAAAGAGGAAAAAGGATATACTCCTTACATATTCCACAGCGATCTTGGATTAAAGACGATACTTGCAACGATCTTGGATTAAAAATGGTGTTTGAATCAAAGACGGTGCTTAGCAGATCAAACGAGATCTTTGAACAGATGTCGGTACGCATCGTAATAATTAGATCTATGCATTTGATTCCGATCCTAACATAAAAATTATTTTCGTATTTCAGATATAACATAATTAAATTTTTTATGCTTACAAATGTTCCCAACGTAGTTTTGTAGGGTTCAACGTCTTTCAAGTCAGCTTATCCTCTTTGGAGTATGCAGGGTTCGATCTCTTGCGAGTCGAATGAGTTTGATATCTTCAGGGTCGAACGAGTGTGGTGTCGGCTAATATTGAACTATTATAATAGATGTGGAAGAAACTTCGATTGGCTTCGAATCATCATCTAAATCAGATACCCAAATTCTAACTTAACAAATACAAGAAGATTTTGCCACATTTGGGAGCTTAGGGTTCATATACAAACTGTCTGGCAACTTGATCTATCAAAATTATGAAATCAAACCTGCAAGAAACAAATTGTAATGAAGAATGGTTCTAAAACAACTAGATAGCAAAGGATGATTGATTCCAAAACAAAGTAGTAGAAACAATTTCAAAACTACCACAGCACTAAAGCTACCTTTCGACATATACAAGAAAATTTTGTCGAATATGAGCTGATGATTCACTGTCCGACAACACACGAAATCAAACATCCAAGAAACGAACCATAACCCCAAATCCAAGGAATAATCAAAACGAGAAATCCAACATCCAACAAAGAGACCTTAACCCTACATCAAAGGATCATCACAAGAACGAGGAAGAAGATTGTAGGGTTATTATAAGTCAAAATGACGAATTCAAACATGGAAGAAGTGAACTATAACCCAAAATGAGAAGAATGAACAAAAGAAGAAACATGTATGGTGATATGATCTGTGAAAGTGACAGAAATCAAACATCCAAGAAAGAGACCATAATCCTAAATCGAATGATCATCCGAACAAGGAAAGAAAGAACGATTATAGGAGTCTTAACTGCTAAAATGACCAATTCAAACATTCAAGAAAGAGACTAAATCATAAAAAAGATAAATAGCAAGAAGTTATTGTAGGGTGATATGATCCACCGAAATGACGAATTGAGACTTGCATGAGACGAGCTCTAACCTAAACGAAACATTGGAAGAAGAAAACTAAGCCAATATGATCCAGTCAAACATCCGAGAAACATACTCTTAACCTAAAATCAAAAGGAACATTAGAAGAAGAGGATTATAGAGAGAATGTCAACTGAAATGACGAGCTCAAACATATAAGAAACAGACCGTAACCTTAAAAGAAAATAAGGTGGGAAGAAGAAGAAGATGATGATACTAATCGTAGGTAATATGATCAGAGCGACGGCTTCTGAAACATCCAAGAAACAAATCCTACTCCTAAATCGAAAGCAAGATCCGCAGAAGGAAATGAAGACTACAGGGGAGTATGATCCGCCAAAACATCGAGCTCAAACATCCCAAGGAAAGAAAATCCTATCCTTGTATCTAAAACATGACCGAAGCAAGAAGAACACTATAGGGTGACATGATGTGCCAACTTGATGAGTCTAGAAACAAATCCTAATCCTTAATAAAAAAAAATGATTAGCAGAAGAAGGTGACGACTGTAAGGTGATTTGATCAGCCGGAACGACGAATTTAAGCATCCAAGAAACAGAGCGTATCCAAGACGACGGTCAGGTGATACGGAGACCGATAGTATCTGCCCAAACGTTGAATTCAAAAAATGCAAGAAACAGAGCGTAAAAATCTTTAAAAGATCGGTAGAAGAAGAAGAGTCGCTCACCTCGAGGAAGCCCCCATTCTCGTCGAGATCGAGACGGCTTTCGGATAACACCGGAGAAAGACGGCAGCACCGCTTGGTTCCCTTCCTGCGCTTAACGTCATCTTGGTGTCTTAGGACTTGGTTCCATCCTTGGGCCGCAGTAAGTAGCATTGGTTCGTCAAGCTCCAACTGACGCGTGTCATGCTTAGTGACGACCAGGGAAACGGCGGGTGATGGTAACACACCATGACGCAACCAACATTAGCAACTGTTTCATGGGTGATTCGGCCCATGAAACAAGTTTGTAATCATTGACTGAACCATTATCAGTGCTTTATTCTTTGGGGTCCTGTAATGAAGTAAATTGACCCAATGAAACTATGATTGGTGCTAAAGTTTGTTTCATTAAAATGCCAAATAAGAAATTATGCATATTTGGTTCAATTAAAATATGGTCATTGCCAATTCAGGTTAACTTCATTATGAGATGGGATTGGGTTTTTGTTGTGCCACCCCCTCCCCCTTGAGACTTAAATATATCTATGTCAAGTTAGGCTCTGATCCGACCCATTAAATCGTACCCATTTGTTGATATATATATATATATATATATATATATATATATATATATATATATATATATATATATATATATATATATATATATATATATATATATATATATATATGAGAGCCCACATATATTATTTATTATAAAAAAAAACATATTTTTTTCTCTCTGTGAGATATATATATTCTCTCTAAAGAGAGA